TGCATTATAAAAAAAAAAAGATCTTTGTAAAACAATCTTGTCGTGGAGAAACACCGGCAACCGTTGTCGCTAATTTGATATAAGAAATACAGTTATTCAACGTTTTACAATAATTATCCAACACAAAATACACAATGGGAGTACAATATAAGTTTTAAAAGGGCTTTGGTATGTATTCATTAGTTGCATTGTCTCAATAAATAGTTTATTATCGTTATAATCGTTGTTAAAATGTGTGAAATCAAAAGAATTATGATAACTATTTATAACTTAAAATGCACTTAATTTGGATAAACATGTAATCATTATTAATGTTTTGCAAGTAGAATGATTATTCAAATAAAATTATCATCATAGAAACAAGTGACTTTGCTTGCTATATCATTGATTTATTAATGTAAGGTATTTCGAGTTTCGTAAACACAAACCAACATGCACGCTCTTTCTATGAAGATTATATTTCCTTATTATGCGCGTTTTTATTGAAAGAGTCCATATAATTATGTATTTAAGTAGAAAGATCATGATAAGTATTGAAACAGTATTGAAATAGTCTATACGTATGCATTTATGAGGAAAGATCACGGAAAAACTTAAAATCAAAAGGAACATGACGGCCCAAATCGCTTAACCACTCCATGAAAAAGAACATTTGAAATAACTTTCATTATTCTTATACAGTATCATCTGGTCATCGTAATCTTTAAACATGTGTCTCAGGAGAAGATGCCATTAAAAGCATAGTTTTAGCCTTTGCCCTAGACGATATCTCGTTCAGACATGATTAATTATTTGATTTTTCTTTTATAAAATGGTTGGGGATTATATAATCTATTTAACAGAGCATGACTGCTATCAATGAGTTTAAAAACACAACAAAAATATAAAAGTGGATTATGAAGCGAAATTGCTAAAATGTTTTGCAATCTTTTGTTTTAGCCATTTTAAAATTTTCCCACCAGATCGGGTCAATACACACGCAAGTTGTTGTTTGTTGAATAATATATCTTAGGAATTGTTTCTTTGCATGTCATTAACAATTACATTTACGAAAGTATGTAATAGGTTTAGCTATCATTCCACAAAAAAAGCAAAAGTTCTTCTTTATTGAGTTAAACGACGTTTCCTATCATAGAGTATTCATCTTTCAGAAAGAGAATAGAAAAGGAAAATAAAACTAGCGAAAAGAACTTAATAATTGATAAGTCTTAAATTAAACAAATTCATAAAAAATGAAACTGATGATCACGGTCCTACGTTTTGCGTATTATTCACCAGCTAGTGAGTCCTTTAACATTTTTCGATCATCTCCAAGAGAAAATAACTTTAAATCAACCATACCGATATCTTTTTTCATTTCAAATTATTTTCAGCAATTTATAGCTGTTACAATTCCATCCAACATATATACTCGTATTTGATTTGCTTTGTTTAGTAAACCTACTACAATATCTTCAAAACAAACGGGGAATTACTGAAATAAATCACTTTTCATATAAAACTAAAGAATAATACATGCTTCAATAAATTTCAGCATATGTTTCTTCATGTCGTGGACTAAAGATATAAACACGAATTTGAAATCGAGTTAGATATTGCTTGTTACAGTTTTGAATTATATGCATGCTCAAGAAAATGGACTTAAATCAGGCACAAACTCACGTTCAAGGGCAGATAACTCAAGAAGTAGGACCGAGACCCCTTTCTTTTATAAAAAAGTAAATTGTTTCAATAATGAATGAAGTTCAGAACCTTCTAACTACTAGTTGTCCTTCTTTGCCTATGATAAAAGTGAAAAAATAAGAAGCGTCAATAAAGCTTCTGAAAAATGTTATGGCAGAAGATGGCGTTTCAAGTTTTTGTTTTTATATTTTAAGTTCAGGTTTTATCATATTCTGCAGACCAGAAATATCGTAGCTAGTACAGGACCGTGCAAAATAATTCTTCTTGATTCTCTATCTGCTATACTGTACAACATACTGGACTGATGTAGGCTACTTCTTATAAGACTTACCCAAGATGTTTTCCTTTTTCTTCACTATAGAACTTCATTTCAATTTTGAGGGGTTAGGAAGAAGATAACATGTCAATAGCATGATACCAGAGTGGAATATTTTCAGTATATTTGTAGAGAGTCATCTAAAGATTATTATCTTAAATTATTTTGTTTTATCCAGTTGCCCAAATAGTTTAGTGGATAAGTTATTTTATGTGGGATTTAACGTAGACGACGGATGAATGATTACGGACAAATGCCGGTCAAACTCAAACGATTATGCTACTGTATGGATGTTCATTTGAAAAAAAAAAAAAAAAAACATATCAATATACAGTAATTAACTTATCATGCTATATCAAACATATGTTATTCGTGTAGTCATGCAACTGCACTGAAACAACACTTAACAATTGTAAGACGTCAAACTAAATGATCAAGTCACTCAACATGTCTAACAAATGTTTTATAAAGTGATTTAAGACGCAAACATTAATGACATCATCACTCAAAATGACAAACAAAACATTGTAAATTAAAGTCAAAGCTTCAATCCTTGTCATGTTAAATGATTCTGTTGCAACACATGCTGAGGCAGGCATTGTTTGATTACAACAACTGAAATTGCAAAAAGTGAAAATTTCAAAACTAAGTTTTATTAAATAAAGTGTATTTGAATATACATCATACGATAATACTAAAGAAAACAGGTACAAAGTCCCGGTATATACATATAAAAATAATTACGTAATGGAACATAACTATATAGGCCAATGCATGATACAACTTAAATCTTCTTAAATTTATACATACAACGATGCCATCTCTATATAACACTTTATGTACACCAGGTTCATCATAAGAATTTCTTATTTATTTTATTTAAAGAATTATGATAACTATTTATAACTTAAAATGCACTTAATTTGGATAAACATGTAATCATTATTAATGTTTTGCAAGTAGATTAATTATTCAAATAAAATGATCATCATAGAAACAAGTGACTTTGCTTGCTATATCATTGATTTATTAATGTAAGGTATTTCGAGTTCCGTAAACACGAACCAACATGTACGCTCTTTCTATGAAGATTATATTACCTTATTATGCGCGTTTTTATTGAAAGAGTCCATATAATTATATATTTAAGTAGAAAGATCATGATAAGTATAGAAACAGTATTGAAACAGTCTATACGTATGCATTTATGAAGAAAGATCACGGAAAAACTTAAAATCAAAAGGAACATGACGGCCCAAATCGCTTAACCACTCCATGAAAAAGAACAATTGAAATAACTTTCATTGTTCTTATACAGTATCATCTGGTCATCGTAATCTTTAAACATTTGTCTCAGGAGAAGATGCCATTAAAAGCATAGTTTTAGCCTTTGCCCTAGACGATATCTCGTTCAGACATGATTAATTATTTGATTTTTCTTTTATAAAATGGTTGGGGATTATATAATCTATTCAACAGAGCATGACTACTATCAATGAGTTTAAAAACACAACAAAAGTATAAAAGTGGATTATGAAGCGAAATTGCTAAAATGTTTTGCAATCTTTTGTTTTAGCCATTTTAAAATTTTCCCACCAGATCGGGTCAATACACACGCAAGTTGTTGTTTGTTGAATAATATATCTTAGGAATTGTTTCTTTGCATGTCATTAACAATTACATTTACGAAAGTATGTAATGGGTTTAGCTATCATTCCACAAAAAAGCAAAAGTTCTTCTTTATTGAGTTAAACGACGTTTCCTATCATAGAGTATTCATCTTTCAGGAATGAATAGAAAAGGAAAATAAAACTAGCGAAAAGAACTAAATAATTGATAAAGTCTTAAATTAAACAAATTCATAAAAAATGAAACTGATGATCACGGTCCTATGTTTTGCGTAATATTCACCAGATAGTGAGTCCTTTAACTCTTTTCGATCATCTCCAAGAGAAAATAACTTTAAATCAACCATACCGACATCTTATTTCATTTCAAATTATTCTTAGCCATTTATAGCTGTTACAATTCTATCCAACATAATTCTATTTTGATTTGCTTTGTTTAGTAAACCCTCTGCAATATCTTCAAAAAAAGACGGAGAATTACTGAAATAAATCACTTTTCATATACAACTAAAGAATAATACATGCTTCAATAAATTTCAGCATATGTTTCTTCATGTCGTGGACTAAAGATATAAACACGAATTTGAAATCGAGTTAGATATTGCTTGTTACAGTTTTGAATTATATGCATGCTCAAGAAAATGGCCTTAAATCAGGCACAAACTCACGTTCAAGGACACATAACTCAAGAAGTAGGACCGAGACCCCTTTCTTTTATAAAAAGTAAATTGTTTCAATAATGAATGAAGTTCAGAACGTTCTGACTACTTGTTGTCCTTCTTTGCCTATGATAAAAGTAGAAAAAATAAGAAACGCCAATAAAGCTTCTGAAAAATGTTATGGCAGAAGATGGCGTTTCAAGTTTTTGTTTTTTTATAATTATTTTAAGTTCAGGTTTTATCATATTTTGCAGACCAGAAATATCGTAGCTAGTACAGGACCGTGCAAAATAATTCTTCTTGATTCTCTATCTGCTTTACTGTACAAATTGCTGGACTGATGTAGGCTACTTCTTATAAGACTTACCTTAAGATTTTTTCCTTTTTCTTCACTATAGAACTTCATTTCAATTCTTAGGGGTTAGGGAGAAGATAACATTTCAATAGCATGATACAAGAGTGGAATATTTTCAGTATATTTGTAGAGAGTCATCTAAAGATTATTATCTGAAATTATTTTGTTTTATCCAGTTGCTCAAATAGTTTAGTGGATAAGTTATTTTATGTGGGATTTAACGTAGACGACGGATGAATGATTACGGACAAATGCCGGTCAAACTCAAACGATTATGCTACTGTATGGATGTTCATTTGAAAAAAAAAAAAAAAAAAAAAAAAAAAAAAACATATCAATATACAGTAATTAACTTATCATGCTATGTCAAACATATGTTACTCGTGTAGTCATGCAACTGCACTGAAACAACACTTAACAATTGTAAGACGTCAAACTAAATGATCAAGTCACTCAACATGTCTAACAAATGTTTTATAAAGTGATTTAAGACGCAAACATTAATGGCATTATCACTCAAAATGACAAACAAAACATTGTAAATTAAAGTCAAAGCTTCAATCCTTGTCATGTTAAATGATTCTGTTGCAACACATGCTGAGGCAGGCATTGTTTGATTACAACAACTGAACTTGCAAAAAGTGAAAATTTCAAAACTAAGTTTTATTAAATAAAGTGTATTTGAATATACATCATACGATAATACTAAAGAAAACAGGTACAAAGTCCCGGTATATATATATAAAAATAATTACGTAATGGAACATAACTATATAGGCCAATGCATGATACAACTTAAATCTTCTTAAATTTATACATACAACGATGTCATCTCTATATAACACTTTATGTACACCAGGTTCATCATAAAAATTTCTTATTTATTTTATTTACGATTTAATTTTTAAAAGAATTTGATTTAATAACTACAAGAAGCATGAAATCTGTTAAAGAAACAGTGCAATTAAAAAGAAAAATTAAATTATCAGCTAGTTAGACCATAAATTGAAGTTTTTGAAACGTGCAAGCTTGTTGTCATGTCCAATTATAAAGTTGTTGTGTACTACAACGACGTGTTGGCGTTGCTTGTAATTTTGGTCCTGAAAGAACCGTTTTCCTGATGCAAACATATCTGGATCTAATATTTTCACACTTAGGTTCGAAAACTTCTGTATCAGTAATCTATTCAAAACGACTTGATCAACCTCTTTTTTATCTTGTCTCTCTAAAATCTGTTTCCATGCCAAAATTAACTTCCTTGATTTAGCGCTATTTTGTACAGCCATGAAACCTGGACATACATTGTTTTTACCATCACTTTGAATCCATATATCATAGTCTCCTTCCAGATGCTGTAAAGGGTTTTGAAGCCAAACAGTATCTGCATCTGTATTGATAATATTTAATCCAATATTTAACAGATCACTGATATATAATGACCGTCTTGATATTAAAGAATTGTATGGTTCAGAATTATACTTTACAGCCTTATCTATAGACGGAAGGTGAGAATGGACAATATTTATTGCACCAGAATAATTCAGAATCAATTTGTCGTAAACATATTTATCTTCCGCAATGGCAATAACCGGTGCATTTATGCCAAGTTTTTGAAAATAAAAATGCCAATTTTGGAAAAAGTCATAAAAACCATTATTCACGGTGATCATTACTGTCCATTGATTGTGTGGTATTTTAAGTCCGTGGTTTCTAATATAGCTCGTCAAATTTGTTATTCCTGTTTTCAATATTTCCGTATCGTATGGTAATATAGTTTTTGTATTTAGATAAGTGGAAAGAAAAGCTATTCCAAGAATAAACATAAATGGTATGGCATGTTGTAAGTATAGAAATATCTTCATTGTCGGAATCAAGATTAATTACTGATATGTTTTTACCTTCCTTAGCATTAATATTAATATTAAAGTACATATTGGTTATTCAAAATGTTTTACAAAAATATACAAGATTATATTCACGTTGGTATTGCGTTTGTCTTGGCTTAGCTAAAGACGTGGCAAAATATCAACAAATTGTAATAGATATAACTGTTTTAAATATATACATGAACATATTGTGTAAACATTTGGACGTGATGTCATTGTTAGATATACAGAAGTTATTGTTTTACTATTTAGGTTTATATTTAAAGTAAATGTAATTACATAGAATTGTCGTCATTTTGACAGAACTTTAATAAACATGGTATTCTTATAGTTTGATATCTTCGAAGAAAAAAGGAAAATGTATTCATTTCTAATTTCTAATTCATCAATTAAAACTCTATAATCATTTTTATCCAAGAAATTCTCTTTTATAAGAAAACCAAAATAACACATTAATTCATTAAATATATATTTTAAAAATCAGATGAAGACCGATCTACCTTAACATTTGTGCCCTAGTATTCAGTTTTTCCATATGCGTTATTATTTAAATTATTTGTAATCAACATTAAATATAAGTTCAAAGTTGTAATACTGTCAGTTATTTTATGTATTTGTTGTTGACGCTTGTACATTATAAATGGAAACTCATCTTGCATATTTTACTCACTTTTTGAATTCTGCATTCTATCAACGTTTGACAAAATCAGTCATGGCCTGCAAAATTATTAGGTTGCCGATTTGATATTTCTTGAATTTTTTATTTTCAATATTTAATTATCATTTTAATATACGTGTACCTTTTTTGGAATACATTTGGACAGCTTCAAAGTATATGTTATCGAAGAACCAGTAACCAAACACCAGTCGGATCAAGTTATCGATGAAAAACAACAACAGTTAGTTAGTAGGCTTAATAGTTTTTTATAAAATAATAAAAAAATCTTCAAATTTCTGGGATTGACATACTTTGTTTCTTCGTGTAAGTCAACAAAAATCTTTTATGAACAGTGATACTCCACTATTTGTAGAAAATGTTGACTGGAATCATTACTATAGAGGTTTTCAGAGAATATATTGCAAGTATTAGAATTGTAATATTAAACCAAACATTGGGTAATTTCCATGTTTATTTTATGCATCAAAGGTAGATGACTTAGACGAAAGTAAACATATATATTTTCATTTAATGTACTCAAATTTCTCAACGCTCTTATTATTTATTTGCTAACGGATAATCGAACTGATTTTATGTCAGCCAATTATCTATTGAATAAAGTTCTCAAATATGGATAAATTGTTCATTTCAAAACATAAAGGGTGTATACTTTTAGAAATGCAATTTTGTTACAAAACCTCTTTCCATTTCTTAAAGATTTCAAATGGCCTTGCTGGATCGAGAATAATATTTATGATTCAAAACTAGTGTGAGATGTTTATCATATTTCTATCTGGAAGGAATGCTAAAATGCAGGACATGGCATTTAATACGCAACTAAATAAGTTTTTTATTGATGTTCAGATATTCCTTTTAAAATATACACGACGAACACATAAAAGTATGTATATAAAAAAAGAAAATTATCAGGCTCAGTTTTATTGAGCCTGTTCATGGACAGTACTGGAAGTACAAGCTACCGTCCACGACCCATAGTATCTGGCTTAATTTTAACATAACTATGGTGAGAATTGAATTAAGAAAAATCCGCAAATGTGTTCATACGGCGGTTATTATGGTCGAACGGCGAATTCCAGTTTTACTTGTGGATGAAGACCTCAGGTGCTTAAACAATATAACGAGACCAAGTTGATTGGAGATTTTAAAAATATCTATTTGACCATTTTCATATACAATATTTTATATTATGTTTCAAGAAATAACGGTCAACACATAAATATTTATTCGAGTACTTAATTGACTTTGCATAGTTGTCATAGAAAAAGTAATGCATTGTAGATGTAAACGATGGTACACCTCAGTATTATCTTAGATATTATCAGCATATTTTTTTATTAGTATTTGCATCAAATCAAAATGTTCTTTCTATCTGGCTTCTTTAATATATTATTATTATCTGGACGTGCATCAAAATTGGAGGCTCATGTAAGCTACATTACTTTAGTATTTATTATGATAGTTACGCTTATTAAAGGCATAGTCATTTGATAGTTGTGAATTTTAACGTAATATTTGTTTCTATAATCAATCTAATTTGTCCATGTCAGTTGAAAACACATAACCGGTAAAGAAAATATGAATAAAAATTAAAACAAGAAACATAATGTCAGATACATAAGCAATGCATTACAGTTGTTTAAACAAGCATGCTTTTTGAATAATGCCAACAATGAAGACTTAAATTACATTCTGTACCTTTTGAAAAGTGTTATCAAAACAATATGATATTGAATAAAGACAATACAAATGAAGTAAACTCTTCGGGCAATCTTTATTACATACTTTGATTAAATCATTCAGTTGTTTACAATTTTGTATATTTGCGTTTTGAATTTCTTGACAAAATTATGCGAACTAAATGATGTAAGGGGAAATATGTACTACACACACTTCATTGCAATTTCTTTTCTATGATTGTTGAATTGAATAAAGTATTGTCTTGAATTGGGAAATTGAATAAAGTGACAGGATAAATTTAAATTTGGATTGAAATGTAACATATCAACTACTGATCTCAAATTTCTGTTGCATATCAAAGTAAGTAGGTATATTTAAGGCGTGTTGTATTCACATTTCCATAAGTTGGTTTAAAACTCGTGCAAAATGACAGCAAACACTTTTAATATTATTATAGCTATTTTTACTGCGTGGTATTAGTAAGTATGACTTGTTATCATTTGTATTTCTTTCTCTGCCTGTTTTCTTAGATTGTCGTTAAAATCATTGAAACATTTTTTTATTAAACTGTCCGCAAACATTTGTAAACATTTTGGGATTTGTAATGTAAACAATAACAAGTATTTAATAAAAGGTTATACTCAAACTTGGCTTTTTGTGTGGGTCTGTATTGTCTCCATAAACTTGTAACTAACACTCTATTGAATGGATGCTTTATTATCATGTTTAAATCAATGTGTGTTTAAGTGGTTCATGTTTATTTATGCCATTACGTTTAATAAGTATTTCTATTTTTACATTACGTATATACTTTATCATAAATTACACTATAGATAGGGTGTTTTATAAATTATAGTAAACAATATTTAAAGCAATGTTTATAAAGCAACGGAAAGAAAGAAAAGGGAAAAATAGATTAATTTTGATTTTGATATTACCACAAATGATTTACTTACTGATATACTTTCGTATTTACGGCGATTTTAAGTTTGATTTTTGGAGCATAAATCAAAATATTTCGGTAAGTAACAAGGGTGTGAAAGTCAAAGATTAATGATTGCACATATGATCTATTGAAAGAAATAAAATGTTTCTGCTTGCATCGTCATGAAATTGACAATCTATTTGCATTGGAAATTTCCATGGATAAATTTTGATATTAATATTATGTGCTTTTAAATCTTTATTTTATAGGATCAAACAGAATCCAAAAGTAAGTATAACAAGACTAACGTGCACTCAGAGACGTTTAAATTACGTGTAAACATGCATGCAAACTTTCTTGAAAACGTCAAAAATGATGTGCAAGAGCATAAAGTAAAACTCAGAAATGAAACAATCGTTGCATTGGAGAAATTAAAATCTGAAATAATGAGAAGCGATACTGAACCTTTGTTAACATTATTCACGACATGGAATAACAATCCAGTCAAAAATGCTGTTCATAACATCACTTTAAGAAACTGGATGACACTGCGTCCGTATGTGGTGTCGGTTATTTTCTTAAATGATACTTTGACGAAGCAATTTTTGAAACAGTATGGTTGCGAATATTTGACCATAAATAAAACAGCTGGAGGCGGGATTCCTATTTTGAAGTATATGTACATAGATGTCATGCGATTTTTTAAATCAACATTCTATGCATACAGTAATGCTGACATATTGTTTACCGACACTCTGATTTATACATTATTTTCTCTTAAAGAATATATGAAACATTTAAGCATGCCTATTCTTATTGTAGGCAAAGGACATAACGTCAATTTTCTTACTATGTCAGAAGGGTTATCTTGGAAAAGTATAACACAAGTAGCTCAAGTGCGCGGTAAACTTTTCAATGGTTTTGCAGAAGATTACTTTATAACAACTCCCGAATATCCTTGGAGTGATATAGAAGATGTTGTCATTGGACGGCGGGCCTATGACAACTGGCTAGTATATCGATCAAGAAAATTACAATTTAATGTAATTGACAGCACAAAAACAATTCTCGCTGTACATCAAACTACAGGTGCTGGTAACTACGAGGGGCATAAACAAACCAATTCAAATTATAATCATAATTTACTTGTAAAATTATATAAATTTATAGAATATAAAACTGGATTTATCGAATGTATTGAAAAATATACAGACTACAAAAATGAAATACTTCTTGTAAAAACAAGGATTGTGGAGAAACAGTGCACGGTATGAATAAAGATATTGATCCATGAAGAGTATATAGTTTTCTTCAGTGTCCTTAATTTATGGATATGCTTTAAGCTTAATTCCATGTTGTTGCTAGACTCGATTAATGTCTGGTGCAACGACACCAACCCTTAGCGGGCTTGACAATATGTATGAAGTAACCATTCTCAACTTCAAATAAACTTGTATGAAATGCATTATCATTTATTGCACTTAATGCTTTTGTTCAGTCTAATTATTATTATTATTTTCAATTATGGCTGAATGCGACTAATTTGTACTCCTTTACATGGATTAAAATAGTATTTGACACCGTATTTGAAATATTCATATTACAAATTAAATACTTTTGTGATCAGTATCAAGCATTTCCTACTATATCACAATTTCTCTTTCTCTTTTTTTCTTTTTTATAATTATAATAAAACCGAATCATTTTCATACTAGTATGTACATTAGTTAATTCTTAAAACACAAAGAAAATTGTAAACTAACGCAATAACCACAATCAAATTTAATTTAAATTATTACAATACGGAAACAAGATTTTCAGTCCCGTTTTAATTAGTTTCCAATTTATGAAAAAATTATTCATATCTCCTGAATGAAATTCCTAGTTTAAGATATTTTTACATTTCAAAGTTAGCAGGCGAATTAAAATTACAAACGAATAATGATTTTGTCGAATGTAAAATATAAGAAACAGGCAATATTGTACAAAGCATGCATGTCTTATGTTCGGAGGCAAAGGACCTGTTTAAATAGGCTGTGTCAACCCTCAACTGTATTATCACACAGCAATTGTTTTGATTTCGAACTTCAATATATAAGCCCTTGCCCTTATTTGCACAGCATCATGTATCATTAAAACATTTTTCTTTTGTTTAAAAAGTGATAGATTTGATGATAATTTTTGATTAATCATTCTACACTGAATCACTTTCAAAGTTCTTTGCATCTGAAATTGTAAATCGTAATGCATTGATTGTTTATAATAATGGTATCATTATATTGGCAAAACGTCTTATAAAAGCTTTGCTAAAATGCACATTGGACTTGCATATATTCTTATTTAAGCTTCAAGTTACATTTATCATTACCTCTGAAATCTGCTGTCAATTATTTTATAGTCAACATGAGCATCAAAGTCACAATGAATGACACTCATTTATGTTATTAAAAATAGTATCATTAAGTTGTACGTTTTGAATAAATGTAAAACCGATATTTTTGTCATTTTGAATGATATTTAATCATAAACGTCAACATCTCAAACAATTTCGAAACGTTTTGCTGGGAATGTTGAGTGACACACCATTGATTTGTGCGTGTAAATGGAATCTTGTTACGTTTGCTTGTCCTGGTGACTGGCATTGTTATTAACTTCTTTATTGTTATCAATGTTTAAAACAGATTACTTGGCATGATGAGTGCCATAACCGTTCATTTATTCTTTTTTTCAATTCTAAAACGTGTTGCTTGTTATATCTTTAAACATTTAACTAGACATGTTGAGCGATAGAAATATTAATTCCTGCACCTTTTATACATTTTAAAGTGTCAGTTTTAAATGTTTAAGTGAAGTTGCTGCTAGAGTAGCATGTGTTTGGCACAATACGACATAATTATTTGTATAATATCTTCCAATGATATTTGTGTTGTTTCTGGATTACATGCACAATACAGCAACATCTTAATTGAAGAATTATGTCATTCATCTGCTAGCATACACAAGAACAACCAGAAAAGGAAATAAAAGAAATAGTATATGCAAAATATGGGTTTTCAGATTAACAGCATACATGACAAAGCAATTCATGTTTTAGGTAACCTCAAGGTAGCCATTTATCAATTAATCACGCCCGCCATCTTACAAACCAATACATATTGAGCCAAAGAAGCTATTCTTCTGCTTTTGATGTAGGAAATGAATTTTTGTAGCTTTGTTTAATGAAATATTCAACAAAGAAAACGTACAACAATTAAATAGTAAGGCATTTTTTAAATCATTAAATAAATTTAGTCTACATATAGCCTAGATCAAAACTTTTCAACAAAAAAATAATTTTTATAATTATAATGATAAAACATGAATAAACCAGTTATTATTATTAAAAATAAATGAGCATGCGTCAATCAGCTTGGCATTATATTGGCAAATATTAAACCCTTTCTTTCAGTTGTTAATGTATCTAACCCTGGATTTCTTTTTTGGTTCCTCCGTCCATTAAACTTTTTACATGGATCAAAATACGAGAAAATCATTGGACACTGAGTCTATTGCCTGAGATACATTGCTAGTAAGGTTCACAATTCTCTAACTGAAAAATAAGTAATAATGTCACATTTGATGTGCCATTTTGACCCAAGCTGCTTAATTCATAAGATAAGGTGAAGACGTCTTCCGAGAAATGCCTTTTTAAATATATCAGTTCTTCAATCAAAAAAAAATCCAAAGACATATGTATCTTTTATGTAAGCCTATATTAGCGACTTAATCCTTGAAAGAATCGGTTTTGACCCGATGGGAATACAATGATGTCTTTTGAAGTGAAAGTGTAAATAAACTAAATCGCCCTCGGAAGTTTGGGCTTTTTTTAGATGACTACAATGTGATGATTCATGTCACATATATACATTTGCACATTGAAGTTTAGAAGTGAACTTTAAATTGTCTATGTTAACTATGTTGCTCCTGGACTTTGACCTTTTTTCCTCCACATCATGAGTCCTACAACCTATCTTGATATTATCTGGTTAGGAGATTTTCAAGACATATTTACTTTATAAATCCTTAGCAATTTTAGACCTGATGTACATGATTTACATAACTTTATTACAATACAATGTTATATACAAAATCTGAATATCATATTACACAGTTAGGTTACCGAAGACATAAATGAATAATTGTCGTGTCACTCATATGTTAACCGTTTATTTTGTTTTGTAGTTTTTGCTGACCCCAAGGTGACCATCTTTCTATTATTATAAGAGGGGAACTCACGACTCCCTTTTGCAAATCATTAACTTATACTCTTTCCAAATAATCAATAAATATATGCAGTTACCAATGGCTATAGTTATCATAATCATTATGGTTGAGGTAGTTATGGACCCTATAAAGTTTAAAACACAGAAATTATTAATACTTTTAAAAAGCATCAAAATGATATCATGAATAGCTTTTATTCATTTTATTTTTATTTGATAGTTTAAAAATATAATAAGTACAAGGTAAAACCTTTTCTCAATTCAATTTAATTATTAAAAATGAGATAAATAATGAAAAGTGATTTTAAGAATGTGACAATCAATTTGAACTTATGTTATGGCAATGTTTTGTTGTTTGTGTGTGTGTGTGTGTGTGTGTGCGTGTGCGTGTGCGTGTGCGTGTGCGTGTGTGTGTGCGTGTGCGTGTGTGTGTGTGTGTGTGTGTGTGTTGTAAAGTGCATTGTGTTTATTGGTTTGCAGGCCGTCGGTCTGAGTTTGAACCCGTAAAACGATTGACGGATGGCCACCTTGAGGTTAGCAAAACTCAAAAAATAAACAGTTTCTTAGAGAGATGATTGACGTGAACATCGTTTACTTATGTAATATTTTCAATAACTGTCAAGAAGACAAAGGACTCATTTCGTAACATCTCTGATAAAGTAACACATGTTGTATACATTTTCTGTATGGTACAAGTATCATATTTTGTTGAAAGTGTATAATTAGGCTGTATGTTTGTTTTCCTATATAATACTTTACAAACTCAAACACAAGCTTAATTGCTATGTGTTTTATAACGATATTCAAACTAGGGTTTATAACGGTCCTGAAAAATTGAATGTGAAAACATTACAGCAACTGCTTCGTTCCCTAATTTTAACCTTTTCAATTTTGCAAGTTTGCAATTTGTTATGTATGTCATGATTTATATTCTAAGATATCTTCGTACGGGTACAGAAAAAGACACTAAAACAATAGAGGTATTTGTACGAAATAGCACCAAACTTTTTGGATAAGAAGTCTTTCTTGTTCTTAATGATAATTGAATTGTATACATGGTATTTATATATGTGCCATTGGAGTGAAACTAAAGTTTACCAATCACATATAGCGCCTTACATGTACCACAATATTATGATAAACTATGGATTTGTTTGAACATGGAAGATGTAAATTGAAGTGTTACATACTATGCTTATATTATAAAAAGATATTCGAAAAGGGAAGTGTTAATATACAAACAATTCATGTGTAGTAACAAATAAGTATTTAGACTAATAAAATAAACATTTGTTTAAACAATAAGTAAATAAATTTTTTAGAATAATGGATAGATGGATGGAGGAATTGGGTTAATAATTGATTTGGATGTAATTTGGGTTGGTCGATAAAAATGGATTGATGAAAATATTTATAGCACAATTGATGGTAAGAAATTAAGGCATGGAGAAAAGAAGAAATATGGTTTGTTACCTGACTCTATAGATAGACGGACGGCTGAATTGGTGGCATTTGTAATTTTTATGATGATAGTAATAAATAACAATGGTGATAAGTATAATAATGATAAAATCTCATAACGATTATAATAATTTAAAGAAACCGGTAAAAAGTTATCACTTTTATAATAAAAAAACCTGCATTGATAAATAAAGGTGCTGGCTCCTTGCTCTGTTGCTTAGCAATGTAACTTTCTTGATTTCGTTTCTAAGGATGTTTTTAAAGGTATGCAAAATTTATTGTCGGCAACTTTATTATTTTTTTAAATAATTTTATTATTATTTATAAACAAAATGAGCGTATATATTGCGAATCATTGTGTCCAATGGTATGTATCAAGTAAAAGAAGTATGCAAAATTCATATAGTAAGGTAAACAAATACAGAAATACCCAATTCATATTGATGTTCACTGTTGTCGTTTTTGAGGATTTGAGTGATTTCATATAGTTTTCACGTCACAACTATGTTAAAATGTGTATAGACAGAAATTACCACAAACATATAACGTTGACGCTTTAAAATACTGACGTTCAGGATACAAGTATTGTTATTTGAATTTCAGTCTATAAGCGCTTTTTATCAGCTCGAATTAACTTGATGGCATAAAACATACAGTGTATCACAAAATATAAACTAACAGAACGAAAACTGTATAAGATTTTCAGCTATTACCAACATTATAACCAGATGGTTCAAGACACTAACAGAGGAGTTCAGTCGAGAACTAAAACACGAATAAAAGTGAATCGGCTTTTCTTTGTGATTGGACTATTAGTATTAGTATGTATTTTTGATGTTGTTCATCAACGTAAAACGTTTATGGTAAGTTTAGATGCACTTCGTGTGTACAGTTTTCCATACATAAAATCACGTTACTTTTTTCGTTTGAATAATTCAAAATTTGTGTTGTTACTCTTTACAGGGTTTTTATTCAGAAGTAAACGGAGAAAAAGATGTAAATGTTGGAAATGACAAAACATTATACGAATTTCAATAAATTATAAAATAACAATAAATCTTTCGAGACAGAAACAAAGACTCTTGCTGAAAATATTAAGAAAATGCGATACATTTACCAATTAGCGCTTTTCCAAAAAGTTAAAATTCAAAAATTAAGAACTATCGTTAGTAAACATGTAAGGACAGGCGGCGAAAACATATACTATAATTATTATCTTATCAGTTGATAAGTATTATCAATGTCGTATTCAGATGCAGATGAAAAGTAACAAAAGTAGATGTGAAAAGGTGATCGACGAAATGAATTTATTTCAAATACCTGATGAGGACATCATAGACAAAATGGACAACAATGCTTTGTATTTATTGTTTGACACGTGAGTATTGTTCAGTTTTATTGATAAGCTTTAAATGAACAATATTACAAGAATTAAACCAGTCGATACCCGTTCAGTCCTGCTTTCTAATATATTAATATATTATATAATGTTTCTTCGAACGAATTATTAACACTATACGAGTATGCACGTATGTATGCATGTTTTTATTCTAGTCATTGGCATTGTCGAAATGTCGAAAATTTACTTCCTCTTATTATCATCGTTATACTGTTTTACACAATGCAGTTGATAAAGTATTGATTTATAACAATACAACTTTTTTTGTTTAAAAAATGATATTGTGCATTTAAACCTTTTGACAGTAACTCATTTCAAATTTGGATTTATGAATAATAAAGTGGCATTATGTCCATACAAGTATTTACAGTAATTTAATAAGTAAAAGTTAAATAACTTGATATTTTGCCATAATTGTACTATGAGATAAAATCAATAATCAATAATCCGTGTGACCAAGGCATTTTCTTATATTTCGTTAATATAGTTAGCAAGATATATTAATAATTGTTACAGCATTTAAAATTCCTTTTTAAAAACTACATTGCTTAACTTTTAAAGTTTTTGTAGCTTTGAATTTATAAGCAATAGTATTTGAATCATTTGAAAAGATTGCAAAGGATATCCGTTTTAGGATTTAAGTTGTGTTAAACTTCTATTTTTAAAAGCTGTGATTCAGTTGTATGTAGTAAAACACAAAAACTTACTTGTATTATATCCGTTGAAATCAATACAATATGTATGTGTGTCACAAGGTATGTTAATCTACAACAATACCACTGCTGCAATTTAACCAGACAAGGTCCGAAACAGTCATCAGGAAAAAATATATGTGAAGATTATTTTTTCAAACCAGGATCAAAATGCATAGTTTACTCTTTTGGGTAGGTTGTTTCTAATTTGATGAGTGTTTTATCTAGATTACTTGTTTAAGCCTTTGTAAATTATATCAAAATTTAAAAAAATGTATTAATTCTGTTTTAAAGCTTTCAATAATGCATGCAATATTTTTGTTTTCATTCAGCATCATTAGATAGAAACATATTTTCTAATGAATCAGAAATCAAGATTAAACAGTTTCTGACAAATAAAAGTATTAGATTGATCTGAAAGAACCATTATTTTGTTTTCTCGGAAACTAGAACATTGCAAGTAAATAAATCTAAATTAATAAATATTTTAATTCCTGTTCTCGATAAATTAAAGGTCCCAGTTAAATTTCGACTTCGAAGAAAGTATCTGGAGATCTTTCAAGTGTGAAATCCACACGTTTGATCCAAGGTTTGTTACGTTATTTGAATCTTTAATAATTTACTTTTTTCACACTGAATAAAAAACACTTTTCTTATACGAGTACGTATTGGAAGCTCGACAACATCTATTTGAGGTAATATAAATATAAAAATATAAATATCTGGGTTGTGTTTCACTGAGAGTCCTAAGTCTAGAAACGGTCTTAAGACAAAAACCGATTCAGTTTTGTTTTTCAAAGAAAGATTTCCTCCTTACGTATGACTCTTATGAAACTACTTGTTCAATTTCTTGATAGCCCTGTAGATAAGCATGACGAGATTGTGGGTTAAAGTTTATGTCATTTTACCTCTTATCATTTCTCAGGGGAATGGAATTGGTTAATGTTCAAGTCTTTGACTAAAGATCAAATATTTGTTAAAAGGTCTCGAGTTATTTCTAATTTACCAATTAGTCCTCGGACTTATGATACAATTAGGTCTTTGTCTTTATATGAAACGCAGCCCTGATCACTAAGTGTATTAAGTATTATTGATAGATTCCTATGTTTAAGATATATCTTAACATCTGTTAAACATGAAGATTTTATTAAACAGTTTAATATAATTAAACAGGGCAGAGTGTCTAAGTGTCGTTTTAAGTCATGCTTTTGTCATGTTTCAGAGTAAGGTAGCAATTTATAAACGCATCAATTTTAGACATAATATCTTAGATATGACAAACTAATATAGAAAATATAGAAAGTTATTTAATCTTATTCATTCAGCATGCCAGTTGAGGGGAAGACATTACCAACGTTTATAGATTATCATCTAATTGGTCTGTCCGGGAAAAATTTTATTCAAACGGAACCAGAAAAATGGAGACACCACGATAATCCTTTGCTGAAAACATGGAAAATGCAAACCCTTTCATCAATCATGGACACGCTTAACCATTCAGTAGTACGTAATGCATACTTGATACTGTGGGGTGTTTCTATAGTTTTAAAGATAATCACATGACTCATTAACTGAACGTGACATTTTGTAAAATATTCGATTTTGTAGCTTCCTTTATAACTTATAAATCTGTAAAGGAGAAGTTTAAGAGATCATATAATATTCTCCTTGATTTAGAAAAATATATGTACGTAGTCTGTCAAGTTTAATGTGCCAAAATCATAGTTGTCTTGTACATTTTTTGTTGTTTTAAATTCTAATGTCATGTATTTTACTATATTGCAGACGACAATTGACATTTTGAAAATAGACATTGAAGGATGGGAATGGAACGCACTCCCTGATATGATAAAGACAGACATTCTACGTCATGTGAAACAACTCTGTATTGAACTTCACTTTGGATATAGCTTCAAGTATCAAACAACAAATGGACGTATTAAACCAGTTTTTACTAAAAATACGTGGGGAAATGTTCCAATAAAGAATCAAATAAAGCTTTTGAAGCAGTTATTCAATAACAGCTTTCGAATAGTAAGAAATGAACCATTGAATTGGGGGACAATAAAAATTGAAAACAAGGTTATAAGAATTCTAAATGAATAAACACTTATAAATCTAAGATTTTTGCCCTGAAATGGTCTAAATTTGGTATACAAAGTCAAAAATTGTTTGTTAGAGAAGATATCGGAAGTTTTAAGTTCTTGAATAATTTAATTTGGGTTCCATTTAAATCATGTAAATGGTATATTTTCATAAAGTCAAAATAGCTATGAACCATATAATATTATCATTGTTCATTTTGATTTATACTGCAATTTATTTACCTAAATATGATAAAGATACATACAACTTACGAAATATTGTGATTGTTATTGACCTTTTGACTACGTTCCTTGAATCAAGCGAATTGCGATTGCGATAATGTCAAACTTGAGGTGTGCTGCTGTAGTGAAAAACGGCCAACACTTTTCATTCCAACATCGAAAATGGATTCCGAGAGGTCTATTATTTAGCGAATTTCACATTTAAGTTACTTTTATGGCCTTTAGTAAATATGTAGGGAATGAGAAGCAAAAGTTTCCTCAACGATCAATGAAAGTCGATTTGATTGATATTTACGATTCAAATACGAATCAAAATGAACAATGATAATATTAATATATTGTTTCGACAATGGATACAGTAAATTTGAAACTGTTAGAAAAATATATCCTGAAAGAAAACTAAATGAAATATATTATTTTCATTACTTTTGCATTTTTCAAAATCATTATGTCATTAGGTTTTATGCGTCAATAGCCATGGCGTCAGTAAATACATTTTTAACACAGTGACTTATTTATATAACAAAGATTTTAGCAAAGATATTTTATTACAACAACAAATGATTGACGTAAAGAGAAAGACATGTAAGTATACTTATTTAAGATGCTTTATTATTCCGGTACGGTTAATATAACTAAAACTCATCTTTCGATCATAGTGGAGGCTGTAAAGTATAATTCTGAAATATATCATTGTTAATATCAAAATGGTCTTAATATTTCAGTGATCTATTGTATATTGGTTTAAATATTTAAGGTAAATACACAATATGTGTCCGAGTTTCAAGGCAGTAAAAACTCAAATAAGTTAATGCTGTTACGGATACAGATTAAAGAGGGATGTGATAAAATTATAGATCAAACAAGACGTTGAAAGAGATTATAAAAGTTTTCCTTCGAGCGTATTTGTGAAGGTTTAAGATCTAAATTGCAAGCAACACTAACACATTGTGGGAGTATACAGCAACTATATGATTGGACACGAAAGACTTATTGCAAAATTTAAACAATTCAATGTCTGGGCTAGTAAGCATTTTATTTCAAAATTTTAATGAGGCATTGCATTTCATCTAAAATATGTTTTACCCTTTCTGAAATTAGATTGTTGAATCTCTAATTTATGTATCAATATTTACACTGTTTAATATAGACAATATTACTGTAAGTAATTCATGGTCTTTGTAGTATATCACTACATTCACGTTCCCCACAGAATTCTGACAATACCACACCGCATTATATTTTGAAATACAAATGTATAAAGAAAAAATCGACACAATGTATAAGGCATTCTGAATTCACATTAGAAATGATTCACCGATGAAATAAACAAACTAAAGATGTGACGTAGTTTAACGATTGATTAATTACAATTCTTGGTGAAAATGTTAAACCAACGAAGTTTAAGCTTGATAAAAGTTATATGTTCATTTCGCTATTCGATCATAAATGAGGATTCAAAGTATAATTCTGAAAGATGTTATTTTTAATATGGCCTTTATGGACGGTCTTTATATCTAAGTGACATATTGTTCAAATACATAATATGTGTCCAGGTTTCAAGGCAGTACAAAATCAAGAAAGTTATTGCTGTAATGGATATAGATTTTAGAGGGACAAGATAAAAAAAAGCGATAACCCAAGGTATTTGGAAAAGATTAAAAATGTTTTTGAGAGCCTAAGTGTGAAGGTATAACATCCAGATTACAAGCAACACCAACACGTTGTGGTACATGTTGTTAATAGCAACTACTATATGATAAGACAAATGAAAGATTCAAACAGTTTATTTTTATGAGCTAGTTAGCTTTTAATATAATCATTTCAATATGACATTTTATGTTTAACCCTTTCCGATATTAGATTGTTGAATCTCTATTTAACTTCAATATTTATATTGTTTAATATAAACAATTAGTAAATATTGATCTTTGTAGTAAATCACCTCTATCACGTCCCCTTTATAATTATGACAATACAATACCGCATAATAGTGTGAAATGCTAAGAAAAAATACGTTCCGAATTCACATTACATTCACATTCACATTACCTGGTTAAACTAACATAAACAAAATACAGTAAAGTCTCTCTATTGAGACCACTTTGGCGTCCTGGTAAAAGTGGTCTTATTTTCGAGTCGGTCTTAATTTGGTGACCTAATGTTTACTATTATATGTATTCTGGTATAGGAGGTTATCTTAGCGATTGGGATCGTTGAAACATAAACCAATTAACGTGAGTTTTATATAACAAAAAATATGATTTATTTATTGAAATTATCACATTTATGCACCATTTTAAACAACTAAAAAAGACATCGAAAATGTTCTTCAGATTTCACAACAAAATTTCATTTTAATCATTGTTGTTCAGTTGTTCAACTTGTTGAGTTCTGGTGATCTCTTGCATACTCATTTTTGTTGAATGCATTATTCCCCCACCCATTTAAATGCTCATCATTTTGTTTCAGGACTATCCGGACCTAAAAGTAAAAAACAAATACGTTTTTTAGTTAAAGTAAAAATAAATCGTATCTGTAATTGTTTTTAAAATCTCTATTGCCATTTAAAACTTCATGAATCAATTTTATTTATTTTTTTGTTCTGAATTAATTATTTTTCGATTATGATTCTAAATTTTATTTCAAAAGACAATTGTTATTAAATTTGCAAAAGCGGTAAAAGTTCTGACTCCGAATTGTAAAATATATATTTTTATTTAACATAGACGAAATAACCTACCTATCTGAAAGTGTGTGTTGTTAACACATCGGTCGTCTTTCTTTGATTCGCATCGATCCAAAATAATAATTGAAAGGAACATTGACACGCTTAATCCCAATCCTTTTAATGACAAACTGCTAATCTTATTGATAATCTCACCTGTAGACACTTTAGTTTCAAACTGTTAATTGATATCTTAAACGTCTCTTCCGTGTACCGCAAAGCGGTCACAACTTCATGGCGGTTGTCGTTAAATGTTGTAAAATTACTAGTATTTGTTTATTGGAGATAATGGGTGGCATGTACAAGTTAGCGAGCAGGGTTAATTAGTGGTCGTTTTATTGGACCCATTTTGCATTGTTAAGTGAGAATTTGGCCCTTAAAAAGTGGTCGTAATACTTAGTAGCGGGTCAGTCGTAATATCGGGCCTTACGACCATTGAATTATAGGGCAAAAAATCGGGACCGGAAAAAGCGGTCGTAATATCGAATTGCCCGCAATTTAGGTTCGGTCGTAACGCGAGACTTTACTGTATTCAAAATTGCTATCATCAGTTTTAACTTGCTAAACAACATCGATAAATTGCGCAACACACCTTGTAAAATATATGAATTTGCGTGATTTTTTAAAATAAATTTGTCTTTTATAGTCAGTATGACTTTGTGATATGAAAATTAATTAATCAATATTCAAAAACATATCCTGTTAAACGGTCAAAGGTTCATTTCGGATGTATTTTTCTACCTTTTATTCTTATTGTTTTCGGCTGATTTTCATTTTAGATTATTGTTCAAATAATTAACTGATTATGAGCAATATAGCAAATATGAAAGTATCTCTAAATATCGCTTTAGTATCCTTTACGATGGTGTTACTTATCAGTGTTAAACACAGGTTTTGGAAGGATAAGCTTACATATTCGAATATTCAGGATTCACAAAACAGTTATGTAAGCCGCCGGTTAGATCCATTATACTGCAAACGAATGCAAGGAAATTTTTTACGTATACATGACAATAAAACATACAATTTACGCATTATCGTGATTGTTTTTGATAGATATGAATCGCTCTTAAGATTACTGCGTTCATTAAATCAGGCAATCTACGACGGCGACACTGTAAAACTTGAGGTATGGATAGACAGATCAGAACAGGGTGTTTTGGATGAAGCTGTAGTAAATACGACCAACACATTTTCATTCCAACATGGTGATTATGAGGTTATACCACATTTTGAGCATGTAGGTCTTCACGGACAATGGATTTCTACGTGGATGCCAAAAAGAAACAGTTCTGAAATAGCTGTCATTTGCGAAGATGATATCACCGTTTCAATTTATTTTTACAAATATCTAAAATATGTACATAAGAAATACGACAATTATTCAGAAATTAATGGCTATGCCTTACAAGGATATTCTATGAAACATCATGTGAAAAATACATCCCCTCTTGTAGGACCAAATGGTAGCATTGTGTTTCTGTACCCAGTCGTCGGATCATGGGGATTTTCTCCAAGCAGAGATAATTGGATACATTTTCAAGACTGGTACACTTCGGCTTGCAATGATGACACAAATGATTTATTTATACCAAACAATATAGCAAGCAAATGGTACATACAATTCAAAAAGAAAGGAAGCCATAAGAGCTTATGGACAATATGGCATATGTATCATGCTTTCATCAATTCGGAGTTCACGCTTTATACAAACTTACCAGGTTTGAAATCATGTTTCATAGCTTTTTTGACGATCATCACACATTTTAATGGAAAGATATATGGTATAAATTTTAATATTTTAGTCACTGTTTGTCAAAATGTTTAAATTACATATACTTTTTTCCCTTAAATTACGTATACATTTTCCCTTCAACATGTATAATTAATTCTCGCAAATTCATTTTAGGTCATATTGGACTTTCGACTAATTGGCGCGAACAAGGCTTGCATTTTAAAAATTTTGGAGGAAAAACAAACGAATTGTTACAAGTGTGGAGACAGGAATTTGAAGATCTGCCAACAAAACCAGTGCATGTTGACATTTCAGGGAAAGTCATTCAATAGTTACTGACGTAACCATAACATAAAAACATTTTTTAACATTCAATTTTAGCTATTTTCATTGCAGTCTCTTTCGTTATTTGATATTTCTAGCTGTTTAAATAGGACGACAATTCTATTATCTATTTCATATCCCTACCATTGCGTTATAATGTTTGATTTTCTAACAATAGATACAAAGGGGAATATTTTAAGAACTTGATACAATATTTGACTTCTAATTGTGTCATAAATTTCTTTTCAATAGCACATTTTCACAAAAATAATACCTAATTATATTAATGCTATGAAGTATTTGTGATGCTCGAATGAAAATATGGGCAACCACAATGGTTTCTTGCATACAATTAAGATCGTTTAAAATACAACCACATACTTTGATTTATACAGAGATACTATTGCTCTGTTATTTGTAACTTCAAAGGTATAACACAAATAATAACTGCAAATGTTCGACGTCTTCAAAATTATTTACAACACACATTTTGCTTTCTAAAAGTCCAAGTAAAACCTTTACACAAAAATTACAAATTTTACACACCACTTTACCGTAACACAAATCATTCGATTCACCCGCTTTTGTTTCGACCCAGGGCATTTAAAAAAAAACATTATCAACGTTGAAAACAATTCCTAGATCCAAGCATATCGAAAACTCTTTCACCAGGCTGTCATTCAGGATAAAACAGATTAAGTCCCTACAAAATATTCCATATGCAATACCTTTATATATCTTTTGTCAGAATGGTTCCTTTCTTTCTTTTGTAATAACACATTCGTCATTCTTAATGACAGTTTTATACTGAGTTTTGTAATTCTTATTTTATGGAATTTGGTTACGGTATATACAATTTGATCCATTCATATCAGTGAACATTTTCACGATTTATTATGAATTTGTTATGTCTTAATATTTTGAAATGCAAATGAATGCAAACTCCTAAAACTATAATAATAAGAAGTAAATGTTAAATCATGATGCAGATATAGAAATTTTGACTTGAGCCAGTCTTTCCGAAAAGCATCCATTTATTCCTATGGGCGAGTATAAAATATATTATTTTATGTTGCATTAATGTTTTGTATAAATAGAATATTTGTTCGGTTGGTTTGAAGAAGGGTAGACATAAGACTTTATAAAAGTATTTTACTTGTTCTTAAAACTGATTCAGTTGTGCAAACACGTGACAATTATAGAAAGAATGGTAAATTTGTAGGTTTCAAAAGTAGCATAAAAATGAGAGGGAGTTAAGAGGCCTTAAGAATAGATGAGACAACAATAATAATTATGTTAAATGATATTTTTGTTTACTTGATGTCGCCTGTAAGGTATTCTTACAAACTATGAAAAGAATATACAGTCTAAGTATTCACTTCTAACGTAAGCATAAACGTTCACCAAATAGAAGATGTATACAACATGTGTTACTTTATCAGAAGTGAAGCGAAATAAGTAATTTGTTTACTTGACAGTTATTGAAAATATTACATGAATGAACGATGTTCACGTCAGTCATCTCTATTAACAATTGATTTGTTTTAAAGTTTTTGCTAACCTTAAGGTGGTAATCCGTCAATCATCTTACGGGATTAAACTCAGACCTTCGGCCTGCAAACCAATAAACACAATGCACTTCATCGCTGAGCCATATAAGCCATTCCTTGACGCAGTTGTCAAAGGTTATTAGTATAATTATTGAGGTAGGCATTAGATGTAGCTTGAAAGCTAAGACAAATATTAAATAAATAAAGAATGATAATATACTAAATAACTTTTTATTATTCATCATTTTGATTAAATATTATTCAGTTAATAATTGGGATGGAAGAGAGTTTAAAATTGTACTTTTTATATACTTGATTTTTTTTTCAACTAAATTAACAAAAATAGCATCGTTATTATTATTTTCTTTTATTTTTTTAATGAATTATGTTTCAGTGTTTTTAACTTTATACGGTCCATTAATGCCCCAATTATCATCATCATAATAACAACATCCTTTCGTAACTTCATCCAATTACTGATTTTATTTTGACAATGGGCATATTATGTTTATTGGTTTGCAAAATGACTTCGTGAGTTCTATTCTTTATTACGTTTGCAACTGTTCATTATAATTAGTTAAACAAGTATGGCAAGGAAGATGAAGATGACGGAAGAACAGGTCAATATGTACGAATGAAAAAATAATTTTGAAGATTTACTCGAAACTAACAGATTTAAACTAAAGGCGATGAAAAAATGGACTTTTTAGGGTTTCTTTCTGACAATAATACAATATATAAGGCAAGCTAAAACATCAAAGTTAAATTTATGCATCTCGAACTCACTTTTTTAAAGATGAAAATCACCAGTTTTGACGAGTGTTTTTTGGCATATACAAAAGTTTTCAAACGAATTCAGTCCGTAACAATTCGTCAGATGTCCAATGCTTCGATATTTGGACTTTTTAATGTCTATATTGTATGATATTGGTACATTTTTTCGAGTTTCCTTCATTATATATTCCTATTGTCACTCTATCATAAAAATTCGTAAAACTAAAGAAAATATTTATAACTTATAGTTCACTGGCGTACTCATATACAAATTGCAAACTTGAAGTGAGGATTGCTTCACATTTATAATGATTCGAGAATTCAATTTAGCTGTTTTAACGAAGGTTTCTTCGTGAAACCGAAATAAGTAATACAATATTCAGCTTTGTTTTTATTATTGAACAAGAATTCTAAAAGGATCGTCTGCATTATCCCGGTTTTATGAAGCATTGTAACCAGGTTTTACTTGTTCCAATTCCGGAATTATCAAGTCATGGCTGGACGGAAAAGATAATGATATGGTAAACAAAAAAATCAATATGACTTAATCAGTTAAGATATAAATAAAACTTCTTTCCTTGCTGCATGTTTGTTATATGCATGTGAAAATTATGTTGCAACTTATAAAATGATAATTTCTATCATCTATATTTTTACATGACGATACCGCAAAAATTAATTTACTATTACTTCGATATCTAATGGAAAAAATACAAATTGACAACATGTTACATTAAAAGAAACAGAAACAATGAATAGATAGTACACCATTCAACAGACAAGACTAACACATAAAAACTTTTTTATGTATTCCGTATCGTTTCTAGAGCAAAATATCAATAGAATTTGAAAACAACAATTGTTTTAGGAAGTCTAGACAACTCAATGTTCTTAACAAAGATGATACATTTTAGCAATCACTTACTCTTTATGCAAGCCACTTTATTGATTGAACTACATTATAGCATTGATTGCAACAAAATGCAAATGTTTAAAAATATTCGAATTATGTAAGAATATTTAAAGTGACAATCAAACAAAAATATTGCGGAAGATTTTAATCGATCTCAAAATTAACTCTTTATCGACTACAATTATAATCATTCAAAAACAAAAGCCAACTTTATTCAAATGGGGTGACATGAAATGTTTATCAAGAATGGGAACAACTTTATGCCATTCTTTGGTACATGTAGTACCATTCAAGAACAATGAGCATAACTGTAGTTTTACATTACATAATGCACTTTTTATGAAGAAAAAGAAATAAAACAATATCTTTTATTTTAGTCTATAATTTGTTGCTGTTGGCAGTACAGTTAAAATTATTTACTTTAGCTAAAAGCATTAGTATTTACATATCAAACTTTGCTTTAAATCATCTACTAATGACATGATAACTACACATATAATTTAACAAAACAGTAAAGCTTACACAATCAACGCAAGAGTATTAGATCTAATGCGTCAATAATCAACATCATAGTACGAACGTATAGTGAAATCATACATAGGAAAATGCAAACATGAAAAAGTGATATTTTAAGAGTTCTCTTTAAGAATATAGTTTTTTAACTGTTTTAAATATACTGCTTTCATTGTCGAAACAATAACACTGTTAATTTTACTTCGCATACCTGAATCATAAATATCAAACAAATCTACTTCCATTGCCTGATTAGGAAACTGTCGTTTTTCCTTCTCTACATATTTACTAAAGGTACATAAAAGAGACTTAAATGTAATATTTACGCCTATAAAATTTGCTAAATGATACACCTCTCGGAACCGATCTTTTAAAATATTTTCGTAAAAAAGTATATGTACTGGTTTCTTATAGGAATTTATCCAAAAAATCGTCGTTTCTTTCCAACGTATTGTTCCGTGTTCAACAAATTGCTTCCATCCTGAAATATTGATATACAAAAAAATTGTGATTTGATTTCTTTTTATTTCGACAAGTCAACATAAATAAACTTATATTCTACTTATCCAAACATAAAATAAACAAATGAAGCACTAAATTCTTCAAATAGGAAACAGTATAATTTCTTGTATAAAGAGTTACGATACCTCATCTAAATAAACACTAGGTTCAGACAAAGATCAAAAATAAAGTAATATTCATCACATCCTTACAACTAACAATTTATGTCTTATGAAATGTATGCCCCTTAAAATGTACGACATCTTAGATAATTAAAACAATACAAAGGAACGTTTCACCATTTTAACACTTTCAAATTGGATATTTTAACATAATACAAAATAAAAATGTTTCCTTAATTTTACGTTTCGTGTATTTGTACCTTGTTCCAACGTTTAACTTTATTAAATAAGACCTTATTTTATGAAACTATGTCCAATATCTATAATATTGATTATATATTTTCCAAACAATCATGTTCAGTAGAATAAAACTTTTCTATATATTTATGAAATCCTACTGCCAATGTTTCAACATTGAAATGGTAAACGCATGTGTGCGTTATATTCTTGTCGCTTCGTCTTCTTTCTTTTAACAAATATAAACCTATATTTAAAGTACTTATACTTACTTTCTCCGAAGTAAGTGCCATTAGAAATCAGAGGTATTTGTGTCCCTTGCAACTTATTACTTCTGTTATATTCGGCTAACATAGCTTTATACGGATTTCGGATTATGTAAATCGCTTTAAAGTAGTTTAGACTTTTTACGTTCAAATTCTTACAATCATCGCCCCCAGCTTTAAAATTTGTTGCATGAGTTTTGATAACAAACGAAAAGCCGCTTGATGAGCATTGTGTTGAAATATGGTTTGTTGCAACTAATATGCCTACAAGAAAAACAAAGACATTCTTTTAAGTTAATGAATTCTTAATAAGCAATGCCAAATATATTGCTTCATTTTAGTATGTTAAATACATTTTTGCTATGACAATCGAATTGTCAGCATATGTGCACTGGTGTTTAGGAAAACTTTATTGTGATTGAATTATTCTGCAAAACAGGATGTGACTATGAAAACTATCAGCTGTTAATATTTTGCACACATACATAAACAGAATTGTAGTGTTAAGTTTCCACGGGTCCAAAATATCATATATGGGAATATAGTAGTAACTGTCTTGCGCTTTTATGTCCGCTATTCATGTGTGCATTTATTAAACACTATTTCGCAATGAGATTAAATTAGAAATATATAATACCTGTTAATGATTCAATAATCCTCCTTATCATAGTATTTCCTGAGCCAGGAAAACTAGCAAGGGCGACAAGTGGCTTTTTATTCTCCATTAAACCTGCTGAAAGTGGCATCCTAGAATAGCAGCAAACTCCTTATATATTGAAATGATCCGATCAAAATGATGTTTTTGGTCACATTCAGTCAATAGTTTATTTAAACGGTAGTCTGTAACCTGATATTTCAAGGTATTATGTATCGCAATTTCGCATTTATTTTGTTTTAAACTAAGTTCCTGTTGAAAGCCGACATGTTTGTTTCTTAAGGAAATGAAAAGTAAATTAGACAGAATTATTGAGCTTATAAGTAGCACAAATACATAAAGACGGTAATGCTGTGATTGCATATCCAATTCGAAGCGTTAAACATTTATAAAACTTCTTTTCCGATTAAATATTAATTCCTTTCTTATTCAAGTCAATCAAACATATTAATGTTTATTCTTTTGTATTTTCCAAACCAATAATATTAAATAAAGCGCTGAAAACGAAAGCAATTTTGACATAATATCTTGTTTCTCTTTGTCTCATTTGTTGATGTAATTGCAACTTGCAGTTTACTTGATTCTTGGTTTATTAAAAGTGTCTTCTATATTTACTATGTTGTTTCTGTGAATGACAGTGTTACTTACACAATATATTTCTAATAAGTTTTCTATCTTTCTTTTCATTTATGTTGGAAATTTTCATCTAAACCTTTTGTTTATTTCAACTTTCAATAAAAATTAATTTTTTAAAAATTAAAAGGTTAAAAGTCGACAAATGTGAATACTTGACGGATGACACTTTGTGGTAAGTAAAGAATTACCTGAAAATCTTTCATTCATGAAGTTTTTTTTCAACATTTTCAAAGTTAATTTTACAAATTTTATCATTCATTACATTTCTGATAATGAAGCATATTGAATGCAATCTTATAAATGTTATAAAGATTTATATTGGATACATATGCCTTCAGTGTTCTTGTTTGAATAACTTATATATTTGGTTAAGCAATATTTAGAAGACGACTTCACTTATTCGCACTTATCTTATAAATCAAGCAGCTTTAGTCGAAAATGGCACATCGAATGTGACAATATTACTTACTTCTGCATTAGAGAATTGTGACCTTTACGAGTAATCTCAAACGATCGACCCTGTGCCACCATGACTTTCACCTACTTAGATCCCTAAACATAAAAAAAGTGATTGGACAAAGGAACCAATAAAAATATAATTGTATAAAATGCCAAGCTTATTGACGCATCTCATTTATTTTAAATTTTAATGACCTTTTATTCATAAAGTTTAACTATGATCATTATTATTATAAATATTACTTTCTGAAAACATTCGATCTAGGCTAAAGGTAGACTAAATCTATTAATAAATATGTGTTGTTATTAATTGTTGAATGTTTTCTTTGTTTAATTGTTTTTTAAACAAAGCTGCAAAAATCATGTCCTAGATCAATAGGTAGAATTAGAATATTTGATAATGCGTTAGATCCTTCGTCACTATTGATCCGAGATCCCATATTTTATAAACATTATTTCATTTATTCTTTTTTTAGTTGGACATATGCTAGAAGATAAATTATATAATTTATCAATTGAAAATGTTTTAATTTGTATTTTGCTTTGAATCTAGAAACAACACAAATACCAAAGGAAGGAATTAATATATAAATCTGTTGTCGTGTCTTATTCTTTGTTTAATTCTTAAACATTAGGCCTTGTACAAAAACTTTTTACAAGACATGCTGAGTGATATAAACATTAATTTCTGAGTCTTTGATGAATGTCAAAACGTTCTGTTTTGCATGTTTTGTAAAAGGTACTACTGAACTTTTTGGTATTCTTCAAAGGCGAATTAATTAACGTTTATATCACTTAACGTGTAAAATGTTTTAAGAGACAAAGCTTCATGTTTTAGAATTAAAGACGAATGAATTATTCCACTCATCATGCCAAGCAAACGATTTAAACATTGATCAACATGAAGAAGTTAATGGCCTTGCCAGTCACAAGGATAACTAAAACGTCACATAATTTGATTTAGACCCACAATCGAGCTCTGTCTGCCAATATCAGTCAAGCCTGCTAAAATTGATATCAAAATACAGTAGTATAGATTTATAGAATCAAGCTCTCAGTGATCGCAAATACGAAAGTATTTCAGAAATCCTATGTATCAATATTAAAATCAATGAAAATCCCCTGTTTCTTCCTTTCCATGGCTTTATAATAATTCTTTAAACTATTGTTTATTTTATATTACGAAACCCCCTATGTGTAGTGTTATTTGTGATAAGCACATTGTCTCTACGTTGTTATGGTGGATATTTTTTGTAAAACTGTAAAAGAAAATATGTAATATGATCATATATATATATATCCAATTATACTGAATCTGTAAGGAGAACAACTTATTAAACGTAAGGACTTTAATGATCATGTAATACTTAAACACAAATCGGATCTTAACAACATAAAACAGTGTTCGATACAAGTTAAAGGCACACAACTCCCAACACTCTTAATAATTATAACAATTTCTTCAGTATTCTTGTTTGTTTTCATAAAAAGTCCCAAATATTTACGAAGCTTCTTGAACAGTTTAAAAATGAAATAATAACTGAAAAAAATAACGACAAATTAAGGACAAGGGCAGATGTCAAAGGACAAATGACGACCATTAAAACATATTAGAACAGTACTTGCCTTTTTTACAGGAAATTCCGAGAATTATGTGTATTAAACCATTTAGTCTAGAAATTCAAAGAACATAATTGTTAACAAAATTAAGATGTAATTAAAGCTGTGTTTAAAAGTTCGTCCAAAAATTTGGGAATTTAATATTTATCAATACGACTTTTTTTGATATAAACAAGCAAAAAACTTTTACATCTCCAGTTTAAAAAAATTTAGTTTTTGGGCCCTTTAAAAGGAAACAGTCTTTTAAATTTTATATAAAGCGGTTTTTTTGTTTTTTTGGGAAAGGGCCCCTTTCCCATTTCCTTTAAAAAGAAATGAGTCTTTGCTTTTATTTTTAACAAATCCTAATTTTTTTTCTCTATCCCCAAAATATATATTTTAATTGACTTTCCCGGACCAATTTTCGTTTGCCCTTTCCTTTATTTATCTGGGTTTATATTTTTTTGTTGTATTAAATAGGGTTTTTTTCAAGAAACCAGGTTTGGTTTTAACGAATTAAAGGAATTTTCCGGGACTCTTACCCAATTTATATTTTTATTTTGGTTTTTTGTTTTAAACCCAAATTTTTTAATTTTAAAGTCATTATCTTAAGACTAAATGGGAAAAATTCACTGTACCAATCCAACACAAAGATTGCTGCAAATGTTCGAAAGCTAAAAAAGGCATGGTTTGTATAATAATATATTATATTAAATTTTTTATCATTTTTCGTTGTCTTTTTTAACATTTTTTCAAACCGACATCGACACATATTCTTTTTTATAGAAACATTTGACATTAATACATGTATTACAAAACATGTATTACATTGAAATTCACATACCATTAAATGAATATGCCTTTAATATGAATATCAACTAACACGAGCCTCTAATTTTTATTCATATTCAGGTCTTTTGTCTATTGATGATACTTCACAGAAACCAGATAAAGATAAAAAAAAAACTTGATTTGATGCGATAAAAATACTATAAATTGTCATGAATACTGGACGTGTACCATTTTACTAAAAAAGTAAATCGTTGTTTTTATAGCAAGGATGCAAAAATCCCAAAAGACTACAGTAAAACATTATTTTTTGATTTTTTTTAAAAAATCTTATCTAATCCCTTTACGTGGGCTTTTTGATTTAATACAAAAGTACTTCCCTTCCCCTTTTTTTAAGATACAATTTACTTTTTTTGATAATTTTTCCTTTTTTTGACATAAAACTATGCAAAAGGGACATACAAACAACAGATGCAAACTATTTTTTTTTTTTAAAAATTTACCGTTTGATCTTTGGGAAAACTTAAACAAACCCCCTTTTAAAAACCAAAAACTCATTTTAAATTCCCCAATTTTTGGGGCTTTTTAAAATTTAAAAAAAGTGCTTAGTCCCGGCCCAAAATCTACCATTTAGAAACGTACTGTTTGTGGTTTAAAACTTTTTTCTTACCAAGAGCCAAGATTGCTGTCATTATTTCCTCCGTTGAATTTTCTGTAAAATGCAAGGATAGTAATGGTATTATCTTTTTGTATTTAATGCTGTTGTTGTTTTTGCTGCTGCTGTTGCTGCTTTTTTAATATCCAAATTTCAGTGAAAAATGAAAACAATTTATCTCTGATAAAATGGTTTTTAAGTTTATGCTTTAATTTTCTTCATACTTGCAATTAATATTCATGAACAATCGTTCTACGTAACCGATTCTACAAAACTCCTAAAGACATCTGCAACAACAGCTTGGCATATTCGTAGAAAAGTTTTCTGTTTTACGGAATATGCACTTGAATCTCGTGGGAAAGACACTAAAGTAAATCTTCTACGGTACACGGGTATATGAAACTTCAAGCCCTTACTCCCTTGACAAAAAATTTGCATGATGTAAGACAAATTGAACAATCGTATTATCTTTATTATACCCAACATTGTATATCCCCGGACAAAATTCCCAAAATCTAGAAACAATTTACGTAGAAAGCTTCATATTGTGTTGTATGAAGATGTGTGTGCAAGAACAATATAACATTATATTTCAAAACTATGATAAAGCATATAACTTAACCTCGGCTGACATAAAAATATGAGCAGTATTGGAGGCAATGCCTCTTTAAACAATACCAATCGTCTCTGTACTGGCGGCTTTGATCTTGCGGAAAATCACTAACTTTGCCCCATTCCCAAAATAAGTATTTCTGACTAAATCGTTTCTATGGATAAAATTCTGAAACAATGAAATATATTTTCCTACAACGTAAATGTTGTCTATTACTGTTAAAAAATGTCATCGCTTTAGTACAGGTTTTGTTATGTGGTTTGTTATTTATTTAAATATATTATAAAAATGTTACTTCATTTGTTCTCGCACAATCCTGCACTTGTAGATTATATAAATTTAAAAAAAGATGAACCTTTTCACTGATTCTTAACAAGAATATGATCTTTGAAGTTTGGGTTCAGTTTAAATATGACATCAGCAAGAGTAAACTGTGGGTTTGATCCCTTCTGACGGCAGTCAATTTATTAACATTTTTCTGTTGTCCCAATACGTGCCAGCTGAAAACCTTAAAAAGACAAAAAATTTCACGAAAAAAAAAAGTTTTTTCAAATTTTTTATCTTTCAGATTTAACTTAATTAAAAAAAATCATATAAAACTAAGCAAAAATTCTGCAATAACGTATTCATAATTCTCATATTTCATTTCAAAATGGGTTTTACAGTATAAAGAAGATTGTACAATAAAAATTTATTAAATGAAACACGTTGACTTTCAGAACACTTGTCCGTCAGCCTACTGTTTTATTTATTTCGGAGAGCTGCATTATGTTACAAAAGGGAAATATCTTACATACACAAACTGATGAAAATATATAGTGCAAACTTAGATGACACTAAAGACCTGATATAAACAGCGTTTCGAGAGACATTGTATAATAGATGCACAGTTTCCCCCCATTATTCTTCACCCAAGTTAAACACATGATATTTTCAAAAATCCAAATCCGAATTGTCTGTCTATATCTTTTAATTGGATGGCACTATCTTGAAATGAAATAAAAAGACCTGTTAACCTCAGTCAAAAATGAACAAACATTTAACGATAACTTTAATGCTAGTTACAATGTTACGTACCAAAAATTCCGTTGTAGCTTCCATCCGCCTGTTTTGATTTCAGAACATCTTCCTTTACTGAACTGTCGTAGAATTGAATATAACTTGATAGTTATCTATATTTACCTGTAAAACTCAATATTATGTATTCGGTAATGTACATAGCGTTAAAGACATTTTATATTAATTCAAAATTGAAATAAAGTGTGCATTATATGTAGCCAATCCGAATCCTATAATGTTATTTACAGTTCCGCAGTTAAAAAACAAAATGATATGTTTTTACTGTTTCCACCAGAGAGATGAATCGTTTTCTACATATTATTGTTAAGAATTGACTACATCTTCACCCTTGGTTCGAATTCCGTCAGCGACTTTTGATTATTTCATGTATGGAGTATATCTACAAAACGCAACGTCGGAAATTCATTCCTCTCTCAGGTGTCAGCTCGTGCCTGATAAAATTCCCGAAGGGCACATGAGTTTTAATCCACAAATAAAGATGCAAAGTCGTCATATAACCTCTTCATTATCGGTGCGGCCATGATAACACATTTGCGGGTGCTTCTTGTATTAACTGTCATCATTGTCATGTTTGGTCTTGGATTCTGCTTACGCTGGAGCATAGGGGCGTAGACGGTAGTTTTCAATACCTTCCATAACAGGCTCGTTCGTTTTAGGCATTCTTAGGGATTTTTTTATTATTCAAAAACAGACACATATATTTGACTTATTATGAAACAAAACAAAAGTCTTATTTGTTCCTCAGGTACTAGTATATTGTAGAAGAAATATCTAAATATCAAATTAAAACAAACTTGTATTTACTAGATGTCGTTACCGTTAATGTTAAACCGTCTCCTCGAAAACCAATGTGTTTCTTTTTTAGATTTATTAGAAATTGATGGGTGATAGGTGATTCTACTGAAAAAGTCTGTTGTCCCGCATTTTGGCATTCCTACCAGATAGAAATACGGTAAACATCTCACCCGCGTGGCCGAATCGAACGTATTCCTTTCGATCCAGCAAGGGCATTTGAAATCTTTAAGTAAAGGCGGAAGTTTCTGCAAACAAAATACAAATTTAATATATAACACACTTTAAGCTTTGTAATGAATTTTTTCTTCAAATGTTAATACTCTATTCAACAGAATAGATAAAATGGTTGACATAGGGTCATCATGATCATTCTTTAGCAAATGAATGAATAATACAACGAAAAAGGTAGATCAATACGTAAAGACTCTATTTAATTTCTTCTAAGTCATCTACCTTTGATGATGAAAAAAAACTTTAAAATTACCCAATTGTTGGTTGAATATTATATTTCTTATTCTTTCAATATATTGCCTAAAAAGCTCGTCTTCAAAAACGATATTAATAAAAATACCTCAATAAGATTTCAGAATCTATAGTTATGATTCCTTTCATTAATTTCTAAAACAAGTGGATTATAGAAGATAAGTGTTGACTTACACGAGGACAAAAGTATGTCTTTCCCAGAGATGTAAAGAATAATGTTATTATTTTATAAGATCACTTACTGTTTTTTCTGGTATATCGTCTACTCGATTGCTTTGACATACTGGAGTTTGGTTACGGTCTTCTCTCGGCTTTTCATCGGTAACATGTACTTTGAAGCTTTTTAAATGTATTCCTAAATGAAGCACATAATTATATTTTAAATCAATTAACATCTTCTCAAATTGTAATTTCTTATTACACAAAAGAGTATTCATTACGTATTTAAAGATTTAATCCATTATATTAAAAATGTGATTAGGAGAAGAAGTTAAATAAGAGAGTGAAATGAATATTTTAGGGAACCTAAAAAAGTTGCAGGCTATAATTGATTTTGTCAAATTTTCATGGAATGCAGAATTCAAGATTTGAGCACAATATGCAAAATCAGCTTCCGTGTATAATGTACAAGCGTCAACAACAAATAAATAGGATAATTGACAGTATAACAAGTTAGAGCATATACTTAAGGATAATTATAAAAGTTTAAAGCTTTACACCACAGGGAAAAAGTGAATACTTTAAAACCACAAGGAAAGAACTGAATACTATGGTACAAATGTTAAGGTTGTTCGGTCTACAATAAGCAAATATCCGTAAAATTTTTAATTACTGATAGTCTTAAAAGATGCAATTGTATCATTTTGGTATTTTGTTAAAATATTTCCTAAATAATTGGAAAATGTTGACAGAGTATATTGTGATTTAGTATGAGCATTTGTTTGATGAATAATACTAATAAATTAAATACTATTCTGCTACAGAACAATTAATCTTATTTAACTGATATGTAAAGATACGTCATGTGCGATCATGTATATTACACTTACAACATCCTTATATGTATTGTCATTTATGATACAGATAACAGACGTTACATAATGGACCAATTTATTTTAAGACAATTTACATTTTGTCTTTTCCTAGGATGTAAAATATACTTGATAATAATGTTTCATACATTGATATATATCTTGTTAGATATTTTGCACTTGAAGGATGTTACGGCGAATGTGAAATAATTCGTTACAGAAGTAACAAAAAATAAACAAAAATGGTATTTTGACTCCAAACAAAATCACCATAAATGTAATATAGTAAGACTATGGGGTTTACAACAAATGACCAACCAATGATACATCCAACTTTTGAAAAAAAATAACTGGACATTGAAATTTAAAAGAATGTCTTTGAGAATAAAGATTTTAAAGCATTTATGTAGCTTAATGGATCGATTAACATTAAAAGTATAACAGTTTAGTTATAACTCTCCACATGAAAGTGCTGTTTAACTTTGAATGCACTTTGCCCCAAGTGCCACTTTGTGAAAATATGGCTTCGGGTAATAAACTGTTTGAAAATGTATTATGATTGTACGTATCGATATAATTATATTTGTGATGCATTCTCAAATTCACTCCAGAAATTAAAATTGCAGAAGTATTTCACTTACCAAACTTTGCAATGAATGTGCATGAAAACACAAATGCTAGGATTATCAATTTAAATACCCAAGACGAACATCTTTCATGAAAATCCATAACTGATTAAATGATTCTAGGCCGTTGACCGTTCGCTTTGAATATATCAGATTTGTTTCTAAATTCCACAAAGCATCATTAGACATAAAAAGTCACTTAAACATATGCATTTAAACCTGAAACATTTATCATCGCCTTAAATAATTTGTCAAATGCATGAATGGCGCGGCAAAGACAAAGAAACACGACTTATTCCATTTAATTAGGTCCACATAGTTCCAATTCGGCAAATATTTACGAATTCAACAGTGTATCTACTTGTAAATATGTATTTAACACATTACCGTTTCCGCACTAAATATATTTTAATTGTAATAAAAAGATCTAGCAGAACTTGCTCGCACAAACCTATCGTATGAAATTTGAAAAGTTAAAAGCACCAAATAAAGCATTTTTATTGATTTATTATCCTTAAACTGATTTTTTTAAAAGGACTCTACTAACACTTTATTGCTTAAATAAAGAGGATTTGATCCAGTCGTTGGCATTTTTGTTATCGAGGCAGTCATAAAATACACGATTACACGACACATATATCCACTATCTTACTGTCATCTGAATTGTCCAAATAGTTTAATTTTTTCGAGACTTCTAGTAATTTTTCTCTCATATAAGGTAAAGAAACAAATATAGGATTTCAGGAATCCAACTGTAAAAATATCATCTGCGTAACTGTACTTTGAAAATGACGACAACTTTAAGTTACGTTATTAATTGTCTGTTTTTTATTGTTCTTTATATGTTCATGCGGCTTTTATCTATTTATGTATTATCCGTTCGTCAGTTCAAACACCTATATTAGGGTTTAGGTATAATACAGTATAACGATTAAAGAACAGTATATTCATTATGTGTCATGAATAACGAACAAAGGTCCAATATGTCACAAGGGAACAACAAAAGAAAAACACTTAAGACATTTGGCAACAATCGACACCATCAATCTATTTTTTCATCACTTTAATCATGGTAAATCCGTCATTGTTAGAGGTTACATATAATAAGAATATAAACCTTCTTTACGTAACAACCGAGTAAGGTGTCATTGCTCAATTTTCTGTTAAAGAAAGTAAAACATAAACTGGTCCAAAGTTTATTTATTTCATGTAGGAAACGTCAGATAAGAATAAAAGGGAAACGATTAGTAGGGGTGACTCTAAAAGTTGCGTCATCAAAATATGTGAACTAATTGTCATATTTGTAATGAAAGTTTTTTATACATAACATAGTCAGTAAAACATTCTACCAACATGTGAAAATGCACAGTAAAATCTAAGTAGCTGAAATTGCATTCAGCATGTTACATTTTCAGAGATGTAACGAATTGAGTCGTTTGTCAACTTGAAATATATCTAATAAGATTTCATAAATGAATGATTTTGTGCCATTCATCTGTAAACAACTCATTTATTTTGTAGTTTTTGCTGACCCCAAGGTGGCAATCTGTCAATTATACTAGATAAGAACTCACGACCGCCGTCTTGCAAGCCATTAAACATAATGCACTTTACCACTCAGCCAAAAAGTCCATTACTGGTTACAGTTGCCAAAGGTTATATTTATAATGATTAAGGTAGTACTCAACACTACGCAGTTAAAAAACTAAAACATATAATAAAAACAAAAAAGAATTTGACTTAAAACGAGGATAGCTTAAATTTCTAATTTTATTAAATTGTTAGTTTTTAAGTATATTATTAGTCCAAATAACACTCTTGTACCACTAAAAAATTAAATATATAAAAATAAATAAATATAATAATAAATAAATGAATAAATAGATAAATACATGGATAAATAAATATAATAATGTTTATGTTGTCTAGCTTTACTGGGTTTTATTTATTTATCTATATTGTCAACAGAAACGTTTACAATGTCTTTAAATATCATTTTACATTCGCCTGGTAACTGTACGGTTTATGCGGCAATGATTGTTCTATTTATCAACATATTTATTATTAATTCTTTCTTACTTAATACATATGTGCTTCAGTTTTCAATTTAGAGTCCAACCCTTCCTCAATTATTATTCTTATAATCCATTGCAACAGCGTCGCAGAATGACACTTTTGCTCAGTGGTATGATGCATTGTGTTAATTGGTTTGAAGGCCGACTATCTGAGTTCAAACCCTTAAGATGATTGACGGGTGGCCATCTTGAGGTTAGCAAATACTTCAATACAAAACAGATGTTTAGACAGATGATTGACGTGAACATTGTTCATTTATGTAATATTTTCAATATTTGTCAAGTAGACAAATTACTCATTTCGTTACACCTCTGATAAAGTAACACATGTTACTTTTGAAAAACGTTTTAGCTTTCGTTTAAAGAGAGTAATTAGAATGTATTTGTTCATAGTTTGATCGAATTCCTTTACAGACGATATCTAGAAAATAACAAATTCTTTTTACATACTAATAATTCATTTATTCTGTTTACACACTGCAACTCCTGAACACTCTCTCATTTTTATACTGTTTGTTCCTATTCATATGTATTGCTTCTTTTATATGACCAACAACGAAATAACACAATTTGATTTTCATAGTGTCTAATAAACTATGTTTTCTTTTTTTTGGATTTGGAAGAAAGTATAATTGTATGCATAAAAGAAATGTATGTCTTTAGAAAATCGGCAAAGGTCAAAGAATTGTCAGGTTTTGATAATACAGCCTTGAGGTTTGGTCATAATGTTTATTGAGCTTCCAGTCAGACATTAACAACATTACAACACATTTACGATCTAGGTAGGTGTTGACTTCAGTGGTCTCAATATCGGCCTTCGTGATTATATTACTACGCATTTGAACTCAAACCGTGCATTATTCTACAACAATGTACTCAGAATTGACATCTATTTCCTAAGCAAAGCGGAAAAAAATTATTTCCTTTCCACCGGTTTTAGAGAGGATGTTGTTTAATGTTGTTTTTTTAATCTAATTTTAGCTCCAATGCTAGATTTCTTCAAGAGACTGTGTAACTTATATAATTGATTATACATGTTTTTGAAAAGGACAGTTTATAGAACGTTTTTGTCGAGTTTCATCCATTTTTAACTTCCAATTAGTTGAAATGTCTTTTGAAAGTTTTTTTCTGTTTCAAGTTCCGATTGTAATTGTATTCAGCAGATCGTGTCAGCTTGAGCCTTTTATGTGCAATAGTACTTTAAGATCTTTCATGCAAATCAGACTTTACACAGCATGTGACCAGGATGAGTCATTAAAAGTGTATTATACCCTGGCGGATAATTACTGCAGCTATTTTCTAAAAATAGAATATTTTTATCTCAATAAAATTCTAACAATGTGTTTAAGGTGGAGATTTTTTGCAAGGGAGCATCAAAGATGATTTTCGTACTAAATTCCTTCATAATCTACTCACAGATTAGAAAGGAGATGCCGTTTTATGCTTATTTCTATTGCTATTTCTGCAATGACTTTTATCAAAGTCTGCCCGGCAGTTGAAGAGAAGTTGATATTCAAGCTTTTCTCTATGTAAGTACATTCTTATTCAGCAGAGCGGATATATTTATTTTCTATCTACCTCTTTATAAAAGCATGCTGTTTTAAGTTTTGTATAATAATAGTAGCTTCAATAAAGATCTTGCTTAGCAGATTATATATACACATGTATTTTTATTAAAGGGCAATTCAAGGATCAATCCTACTGAGATTAATTATATTCGTCTGAGCTGCTGAGAAGATGTTGATTTAAAATTTAACTTCCCTTTAAGGCCCGGTGACCATCTTAATCGGCTATTTTTGTACTGGAATTATCATTTTTTAGGTTAATTATAATCTGCCTTGTAATAGAAGTGTCGTTTCAAGGTTATTTCTATTTTCAAATCCTATAGCTGGTTTGTTCAATAGACCGTAACGATATAAGCAGTTTTTTGTTAGATGCAAGGCTTACTCGTTTGAATTTCTGTCCAGAGTTTGCGAAGAGGTTTCGTTTAAATAATTGTGTAATTCTAGCTTAGGCGGCAATATTTGTCATCAGAGTGAAAAGACATTTGAAACAGTTGTTAACGAAAAATTAGAAATTATTCCTGTACAAGTTTACCTCATTTCAAATATTGGTTCAGGAGGAGATGATGTACACTGGGTGATGGATAACGCCAATTATAATACAAAAAGACATATCAATATGTTATATCATTTAGTTTCATGTTATGTTATAGTTGGTAACGACACATACGATCTGATATAGACATTACACTAGCAAACACGCATGCCAGAGTAAACGTTTGATAAATTATAAGACAAAGAAAAAAAATGAATGATTATATCATTCAACATGCCAAGCAAGTCGTCTTGAAAATTGATTAAAATGTAAAATATATATTCTTAAAAATGTCGAAGAAGATATTTCTCCGTGAACTTAAAAATCCACAGAAGTTTTTTAGGTTTAAAGAAGTCATTCAATTCTATTCTGAAATGTTTAGATACATTTTACTAAATAGTGGAACATGAAGTTATTTTTCTAAATTTACTTGGCTCAAAGGATGGTTACATAATTGGTGCAGCCGTCTATCATCTGGACTGATGCAGCCTGATTGAGTTCACAAGCGAAGCCATTAATCTAGCATTGTCATGCATTTCACAGAATAATAGTGATTTTTTTCAGATTCACCCCCACCCCCCGTGTTATGACAAGTTAAACACCGAAAGTCCGACAATATCAGTATTTAGGTATTCCTTTACATGACATTTCAAACACTAGTCAAATTACTAAATTGATTATCAACATCGTTTAGAAAGATGATGATAAAATAAAGTATTTGAAATAGAGACATACTTCTATTTTTCTCAAAGTCTGAATGACGACATTTTAGCATTTTTATTAGAAACTCTCGTTAGGAAATGATACAAACAAAGATGAAGAAACTATATCAAATATGTCTATGTTTACTTTCCGTAATCAAACGTCAGAGAAGAAGAACGTATTTCCGTAAACGAGATGCGTCTGCTCCAAAAGGTTAGTAGTAATTTAAATCAGCATTGTTACGTTCCATAATAATGTTTATTTTGTATGTAAGTAGTGTTTAGTTTGGCTATAAACATCCGATAGTAATCACTTTCTCAAATAAAAAAAGTTAATTTAAATCTTCTTCAAACGAAGTTGCATGAATTATAGAATTGGAAAGGATTAAATGTAATGGCATTCAAAGTTTGTATAGTATAGTTCATCTATGTCGATTAGGGATGATTAATAAAGCTTTTCTTTAGATTAATTCACAAATTGTTTCGAAAAACAAGCTTCTGAAGTATTATTAATTAAAAAACACATTATTTATCAAATAGGCAAAAAACACTTCTATTTTTAGGGTCAACCTGTCATTTGAATGATTCCGGGATAACATGTCGCTTATTGCCGTTGGCTGTTTTAAGTGTACTGATGATGATAATAAGAGCGCATACTATATCAAATAATGTCACACCAGTCTTAAAATATGCATATACATTTTCGAACACTATATTTAAATCAACTATATCAGTGCAAGAACCCAGAATTCAGACTTTATTTCGGAACAAAAGTGAAATATGGAAATCCAATGTTAAAAAGGTACGTTTGACAATACTGACATAACTGTAAGATGTGTTATGTTCCGCTGTGTAACATATAAAAAGAATGTGTGTGATACCATCTTAAGAATGATGAATATGTTATTACAAAAGAAAGAGAAGTACCATTAAAACATAAAATCTATAAAGGTAGTGCATAAGGAATATTTAGTAGAGAATTAATCAGTTTCATCCTAAATGGCAGCCTGGTGAAAAACGTTTTTGATCTAGTTAAATGATTCGCTTGAACCTGAGGAATTATGCTTTTCCACTTTAAGAATGTTTCCAAATGCCCCGGGCCTAAATAATAGCGGGTCATTCAAAGGCAATTCATATAAAACACGAGCAATTTCGTGGCAACCAAATATTTTGTGTTACGACAAAGTAATACGCAAAATTTGTATTTATGGTGTCAAGGATTTACTTGGAGTTTTAGAAAGCAAAACGTTTATTGCTAATAAATTCTATGAAGAATTTGAACCTTTGAGTTTAGGTTGTATAGAAATTGAAATGTAAAACAAACTTTTGACGAGGAAAATTTTATACCCTTGTCCCGAATTCCGTGTCTGTAAATCAAAAATTCAGACAGTAGAGAAAGTAGGTAAACCGGTATCAAAATATCAAAAGTAGGTCAGC